TCCAATGCAAACTGTCATTCTATTATTTTTATTTGTATTTGTGTAAACGTTATTGTTCTGCTTTTGACTTCATTATGGAACAAGATTTAGAACTGAAAGATTTGCAGTCACCACCATGAGAGTTGAAATTGTTCACATATGGGTGTGTTTAATCACATGAGCACTCTTGCCAAAGTATAAACATCCCTGCAAATTATTCACCTTTTTTTATAACCATGAGCTTAACTATTTCTAGAACAGGTATTAGGTCTCCATATCCCATTGAGAAACTACAAAATGAATGATCTAAAAAGAGATTATAGCACAACTGCAACAGTAGAAAAACTACTACCATTTGCATAAATGGGAAAACTGAAAAATACAATTTTTTATCATTTCAAGAAGCCCACAGTCACTTTGGATCAGCTACAAAGATCTACTGCTCAGGTGGAAGAAAGTTTCAACAGGACAATTATTGGTCATGCAAACTTTTGTTGAAGGAAAATCACTAGAAGTGCACAACAAATATTTAAAACAAAGGTGCTGTGATCAAATGAGACAAAAATGTATTTTTTGCCAACACGTAAAAGGCTGTAAGTGGTGAAAATTGTGTCTGCAAGGTCAGTCAAGTTGGTCAGAGTTTATCTGGGTTGATTGATTAAACACATATAAATCCAGGAAGAAAACTAGTTGAGAATTTGTGGAAAGACCTGAAAATTGAATTTCACAGTTAAACTGAGCTTGAGCTACTGTGCAAAATAGAACATAGAAAAAAAATTGTAGATGTGCAAAACGAACAGAGAGATAATTCAGAACACTTGAATATTTAGCCGCAGTAAACAAAAGTCCTACAGAGTATTCAATCAAGATGGACTGAACAGAAATGCATAGCACACTTTTCAAAATGTTTAACATCTACATCATGTGTACTATCTTTCCCACTGCAGAATTATCCACTAAATTTTATTGGTTCATCTCCTAAAAGTCAATTAAGATGTACTGGAGCAGATCACATTGAAGCAGAACCTTTCAAACACTCAGTAGATTTATTTTCTACAGGTATTTTTGATCTTCTGAAGGTAGCAGATAAAACAAAATTACAAGTCAAGCTTCTCTCGTTAAGATATTAAATAACAAAATGTCAAATAAAAAGTTTCCAATAGTAAGGATTAGGAAAGCGTTAGACATAAAAAGAGTACTCATTGCATTTCTAATAGGTTTGTAATTAAGAAGCAGCCTTGCCGGTGTTTCATGTTTACAAATTAAAACTCAAACCAATTTTAAAACAGTTCTAACTAAACAAAACTCACCATCAATGAGAAAAATGTGGTATTCCTTGAAATGTTACTCACCAAATAAAGTACAATATTAAAGCTCACATTTCGCTCCATTAAACTCACAAACTTTACATTACGCTTTAATGGCTTTAATGGCAAAAGCAGAATTGCTCTGTATTCAGCTCCATTTATCTCACCATCAAGCTAAAAACCATCACTGCCCCAGCCAAAAAAAAAAAAAGCAGCATCAGATGATGCTGCCACCACAGTGGGAATTATGTCACTGGGTCATGTATAATGTAATTTTTCTACCACACACGTTGTATGTAAACCAAACAGTTGGATTTTAACCTCACCTGACCAGATGACATTCTTCAACCTGTTCATTTTGTCCCTTACATAGCATGTTGCAAATTAGAGTTCAAGATTGTAAAAGGATAAAATATAGAAAAGCTTATCTGAAACAAATATTTTATGCACATCCCTCTCTTGGTCCCAAATGTTGCATTTCTAGCTGGATCCTTTCATACATCAAATATGCTTCTGAGCACTGTTTTGAAACACAAATGTTAGTGTTGCCGGAACCTAAAACTTTTTCTTCACCCTATTGCTTTTTCAGTCACTTTATGTTGCTAAAGAAACTTTATATTGCATCACCTCTTGCATCATATAGTGACAATACGTGAATGCAGCATACAAATGTGTCTGTTGCTCTTTAATTTCCTTTAGGTATTACAAACTTCTCAACAATGTTCCATATGCGAATAACGTATTTTCCACGGGGAGAAGGTTTTAGAAGAAAGCTACAGAGGATATGAGAGCGAAAACCCATAGCAGCTCCTTCAAGCTGCCTCGTGTCTTTGTATTGTCCAACAGAATGGCCTTTGAAGAAGCAGTAGCTTCTGGAGGAGGCCTGCAGGCCTGGGGAGTCAGACTTCCACAAAGGTCACATGTACACTGAAACAGATTAACAATTCAGACTGAAATAAAGGGGCTAAAGGGCTAATGTAGCTCAGCCTGAGTCTTATTGCATTAGCAAAAGCTGCAGTGCAAAAGCAGACTGCTTATTAGATGACGTAATGCAAATTTGTATTTACAGATATGGTAGAATATAGACTAATGGAAATAATTTGCATTTGAAACTGTACACATGAGAAAACAAGCATGTTTACATGCTATGGTTCAAAATAAGCTAAGAAAACTCTTCTGTAGTGATCTGATTTATTTGTTAAAACATATCTAACTCAGATTGTCAACATTCAGAGTCAGACAGACTTTCCATTTGAACTAAAAAGAAAAAAAAAAAAGATTTAAATTGTTTAAGCTTTTTGCTACGGAATGCAAGGTTGTTCCTTAGGTGAATTTCTCTCCAACCTGAACTGTTCAATATAAGAAATGGGCATACACACTACAACATAGCATATAACTGTAAGCCTATCTAAGCACTTAATGCAGCCTAATGATGCACATTGTGATATTGCAACGTTAGGCCGGGTGGCTTTTTAGCTCTACCAGAAAACTTATCTTCATTTGAATTTTTTATACTGTATACCAGTTATTGTGATTGTATTAAAGATGCCTTCTAGACATGCGGTGATTATTGAAAAATATTTATAGGCTTAACACTTTTACCCATTTTGATCACTAAACACCTGGATTTTATGTGACCAAAAGCAAATGCAGCATTCTTGCTAGGTGAAACGAAAATGACACATAGAAATCAGTGACCTGCTCTTGTAATGAGCCCACTTTACTTTGATACCCCTAAATAAAGTGCAACCGATTGCCTTCAAAACACACATGATCTAGTAAATATATTCCAGCTGAGTAATTATATCAAGCGGTTCTGTGAAATGGCACAGAGGTTTGTTAGATAATATTAGTGAACAAACAGCATCACAAAGATTAAGAAACAAAGCAAACAGGTCAGCAATAAAGTGGTGAAGAAGTTTGAAGCAGGAGTTGGGTTATAAGACAAAAACCCAAGTCACAGATCACTGGCCGATTCACTGTCCTAAAATATAATAATATGTTAAAACTGCAAACCTTCCAAGTCATAGATTTACATCTAAACTAGCACACTTCGCTTGGAGAGCAGTAATCAGATAAGAAGCAAAGTGATCCATGGTAAATTCTGCAGAGATCTACAACTAAGGCAAGAGAATGTTGACAGGATCACTATAAGCTGTTTGCAGTTTGCCAAAAGTGATAGAAGACACAGCAAACACATGGATGTAGGTCAGATGAGTCAATATATCAATATGAATGCATGTGTGGCAAAAAATTTAAACTCCACATCCCCTTGTACACCATACCCTCCCTCATCATGAAACATGGGCATGCAACATGTAGAATGGTTGCCTTACGTCAGCAGGGACAGGGGAGCAGTTCAAAGCTGGTGGGAAGACTGAAAAAGTTAAATATGGAGCAATAATGGAAGGCAACCTGTTTGAGGCTGCTAGAGCAATGAGAATCATATTCAACAGCTCAACAGGACAGTGACTCTAAAGATGCAGAGCTAGAATGAAATGATTTAAATCAAAGCTAGTTTGTGTGTGAGAGTGTAGGTCCAGTCAGAATTCTGGGTCGAATCATGTTGTGTTTGTTGTGAGATTTCCTATCTGGAAATGCATTCAGATTTCTCAACGAAAAAAAAAAAAAAAAAAATTTTGGGTGTCAGTTTGTGTTGTTTTGTTATAAGACACCGATAAAACAGACTGAAATTTGAGGTTCTAAGGTGTCAAAATGGTTGACAAATAGAGAATATGTTCGATTTGGAGAATATTTTTTGGAAGGCAGTTAATCTGGTCCTGGGTCATTAAACAAAAATGAAAACATGTGAAATCTTATGGAGAACTCTCCTAAAGTTAGTTCAATACGTTACACATTGTTACATACATTAGTGATATTATCTGACTTGCTGTTAAACTGCCTGCTATAGCCTTAATACATCCAAGCTTTGAAATAAAGACTTTTCCTTCTGAAAGCCCTTTGCAGCATTTTGTTTCAGCACCATGGACAGTTACAACAGGACTGATAAAACAAAGGCAAGTCTCTGCAACCATCCAGCTCAAAACAAACAAAAATAGTCTCAACTGTTATTCAGCTGATGCACCTCGTTTCTCCTCGACAGCAGGCAGACTGAGCTCAAACATCAAACGTGACACAAAATGTGGGATCCATCTTTATCGTCTGATGTGTGCTGTTAATTGCAAAAGCAAGCATGGTGTGTGACTGCACTCTACTGCTGCTGCTGCTGCTGCTGCTGCTGGAACAACAGGTAAACTAGGGGAAGTGCAAATCCTGGATTAGATGCAGAAATCACAGAAGTGCTATTAGAAATATTAAAACGGTGCACCCTGTCTTTCTCTCTCTCTGCTTATCTGGTTGAGATGTGACTGAATCTGACTCCATATGCCAGACATTAGCTGCAAGGTATGCTACACAGACGGCCAACAGTTATAATAAATAAATACACATATAAATAATCATATAATATAAACGAAACATTAAAAAATATACATAAAAGAAGATTTGCAGCCTTAGATGCTTATACTTCCTCCAGTATCTTCCAGTTTGTGCAGAATGTGCTGCAGCCATGCAGTCTGATGACCTATAGGTACCTTGAACTTCTGAGCATTAATGCACACATGACAAATACGCCAAGCCGTTACCATGACGACTGTGACCTCCCTACCCCATTTTTCTTCTGAAGTGCACGTGCGGGGTGTGCGTGCGTCCTACCTTGCACTCATCCATGCACGTCCTGACTGAGTACGCGTCCGTCTCGTACTTCTGAACCAGCAGCTCAAACTCCCTGTAGTTCTCCTCCGCCTGCCGATCCAGACGCTGATAAGCCCGGACACACTCCGCGCACCCCAGCAGATCCACCCCCATGGTCGTATCCAGGGAGCAATTCAAAACGTCCGGACTCGTAAACCCGTAAAACAAATCCAAAAGTGAGTAGGAATTACAAAAAGAAAGGTACAAATCGCTCAGATTCACGTACGCCGACTGTGTCCCCTCTTCTTCTTCTTCGCCAGAGAGGCCCAGGCACACTGTCAGAGCGTCCGTGAAAGTGAAGCAGTCTCTGGACACGCTGTCCGGGTGACAGGTGTCCATCCGCCACAGAGGTTTGGTAGAATTCCCTATAAAAATAACATCTTGCTCTCTGGCGAGGCGGCGGGGGTCGGGTGATTTTGGGACGTGGTGTGATTGGAGGGAGTTTGGCTTCTTCTCGCCCGCGTCCGAGATAGCGTGACCCTCGTCCGACCGCTTGTCGCGGGTCCGCGTCAGCTTGGCCTCGGCGCAGAACCACAGGTGATCAGAGAGCAGGACGGTGATGAAGAGCAGAGAGGCCAGCGACTGTCGCCATCTCTGGGCCCGCTCCGGCTCCGTGAATGGCTTCTCGTTCTCTCGGGGTGCAGACCAGTATTTTAAGCATTCGTTATGCTGCCGACGCATCCAAACACCCCTGGTCATATTTTAGGAGAGTGCTGCCCTGGGCCGACTCCACCGCGGGGGCTCCTCTGCCACAATACTCATTGACTTGTCGGGCGACGGGCTCCGGTTGGTTCTCCTCTGCAGCGGTAGGAGGGGGGTTCGGAGCCTCCGCCGGTCCAGGGCGCTCCTGCTATCGCGCCCCGCAGCAAGTCGGTGCTATTCCGAACCAATTAGCGTGCCCGCACAGATTAAGCTTCGCGCTGCCGCATCCCGGTTCTCCATGGCTCTCCGGGGGGGAACGGCGTCCTTTTTGACCGCATACCCCCACCTCTTCCCTGACGTCCCCTCTCCGGGCTTGTTCGCTTGTCAGGGGGGCGCGCAAGGGAGACCAGCTGTTGCGAGCCTCTCGGTGCTGATGCTGCGCGTCTGCCACCGCTCGATCCGCAGATTCACTTAAAGGAGAGCCAGCAGCCCCCTCGACGCAGGTAGACGGGTTTCTCGGAAAGCCTCGAATCGGTTCTCCCGGTGGCCACTGTCATCTTGGACCTCGGTTAAGTTGCCGCCATGTTCGTCTTGAAACACTTTTTCGGAGAGCTGAGTCTGTTTGCGTCATCTCCATCGTTGTGATAGCTCCATCGTTGCGCAGTGGCGGAGCAGCTTATTACCTGTATGCGAACCACACAAACGCAGAGGCTGGGGGAGAGACCGCAGACACCGAAAGGTGGTAAACGCTGTTTTTTTGTGTGTGTTTTTTTTGGCAACACGCTGTGATATTTAGAGTGGTATTTAACTGTTTTGATATGGCAAGAACTAGCACACACTTATAACGAGATTTTGCTCTTTGGTGCAGGGTACAACGCAAATCCATTCATAACACTGCAGTTAAAAGATTACTTTTGACACATATCCAGACACAGTGGGACATCAGGTACTTTGGGGCAGCATGAGTAAAAGCATTTCGTGCTTGACTTGAAAAGTATATGTCAAACTCAGGGTGTCAATATATTGGGCTTGGAAACATATCGGATAAGTGGCGCCACCGTGGGTGGGGGATATACAGAGGTGGTGCCCAACCCTCCAGATTACCTGCTACCTGGCCAAAAAGTCCTTTATAATGTGCATACTTATTATTTATTTATTTTTATATGAATTTACAACTGTAGAGAATTGTGCTCAAATTATTATTTTTTTTAACTTTTTTTATTTAAACTCTCGACTTTAGTTAATAACTAAAATAATTATTGAAAAGTATTTTAATTTCAATCAAGAGGCAAATCTCACATAGAAGACTAAATAAAACCAGAGGGGAGAATTTCAAAGAATTTATTTGTTTATTTATATAAATGTGTATTATTCATACTACTAAAAAAGGCTCAAAGTTCTGTGTTATGGCCAATATAATAAGGAGGACTACCATTAAGAGCTTCAGGAGTTACAACACACAGATATATCCAGGACAAAGGCTTCATTTGTTGCAAATTGTCATTTGGAGTTGTGTTACGCAAGTCAAAAGACGACATCAGAAGCGCCCTGCCTGGGGTTAATGAGAGAACGGACTGGAATTTGGCTCAAAGGTCCAAAAACCTCTTTTCAGTGAAAAGTCAAATTTCCATTTCATTTGAAAATCAAGGTCCTGTTGTCTGGAAGAAGAGAAAGAAGAGCACAGAATCCAAAATATGTAAGCTTCTGTGTGAGCTTTTCACAGTTAGTGAGGCCAGACAAAGAGAGAATGAGAAAACAGGAAAGAGAATAAGTTTAGGATATCAACGCTTTTCCGTTCTTCAATTTATCTATTCACTATATTTCCACACTTTCAAAAAAAAACAAAAAAACTCCAGCTTGCATGGGAACCATCTGGTGGAGTCCAACACCACTCCAAAGAATCTTAGATTAGCCAAATATGACTCACAAACTTATTAAAAAATAATAGTTGTACTTGACAAACTTCCAGCACCACTGATATCTCACCTACTACAGTGAAGTTAACCCTCCTGTCTCTAAAAAAATGCAGCTGGATTATTTGCAATATTTTATCCAGCTATATGTTATTTCCCTGAGAATCCGTACATGAAGGAGAGAGGTTTGGGGGGTTTGTCTTCCTTCAGTGGCACATCATCACCACTCCATCAAGGGCAACATCAACAAACAACAGTTGTCTAAAGACATTCACAATATAGAGAAGATTTCGCCAACCATGTGTGTCTTTGGACTGTACGACAAAAACAACGAAGAGGAGGAGTAGTCAGGGAAAACAACGCATGCTCATGGAGGAAATGCAAACTCCATGCAGAAATATGACAGCATGGATTTGAACCTGATTTTTATTTTATTTTTTTGCTTCAAGGCAGCAGCTTGCATTGTATTATGTTCAAACCAGCTAAAGTTGCTGAAAGAGATCATGTCCACAGCCAAGATGTTACACGGAGGTTCAGCTTGATTGATGTTTTGTGCTTGTGGATGTTTACCGCCAGTGTTCAGAAGTGAAAATAAAGATGCTGCTTTGGACAGCGTTGTTGTGTCACTGCTAAGAAAGCTCCGATGCTCATTCAGCACTCTTTCTCGCACGCATTATGTCACTGCATAATGCTGTGATTATGCCTCATAGGAATTGATGTCCTACTTTGACAGAAATTGTCTAATTTTTGTCCTTTAACTGCACAATTGCACAGCGAATACTTTGTATTTGACCCTGAATGTGACTTTTTTGTGTTTGTGCTGGTATTCAGATGTGTGGATCGGTGGATTTGTCTCACCCTTCTCTGTTGGGAAATACAGAGATAGACTGGATTATCATAAAATAATTTCCATATCTTTTGACTTATATCAGATCCTGACAGTGGCAGCCACGCACAACATATGGAGAGTTGTCAGCTTTCACACGTACACACGCTCGTTCAGTGTTTTCTACCTGTTATGTGTGTGTGAGGGAAACACAAGTTGTGCAACAGCAAGAAAGAGAGAGCGAGCAGAGAGACGGAAAGGGGTGGAGGAAGGGGTGAGGGGGGGGGTTGCATCTGTGAGATGAATGCAGATAGCGAGCCCTTAAATCTCGAGCCATCACAAGAACAGTAGGGGCTGGCAGACATGACTCATCCACTATCCATGCAATGTGTGTGTTCTCTCTGATGCGGCATGTGTAGAATTGATTATCTTGTGTCACTGTAGTGCTACACCTATTGTTACATAAAACAATCATTTGCACAGTTCACTATACTTTTTTGTAAGCAATGTCTGCATTTGTCTTTACAGAATTGTGTGATTTGTAAAAAAACAAAAAAACAAAAAAAAAACACCTTTGTAAGTCAGACAAGGATTATGTCAAAAATTTGAAATGATCAAATAAACAGCATGAGCGTTTTTAGTATCTACTTAGATATTTTTTATGTAGTTTAAACAATAAAGCATACACAATCTGTCTTGATTTTGCAATTCAAACATAAACTGAAACTGATACAGTACTGATGCTTCAGCAAAAAAGACATTTGCATTTCCTTGAGACTTTTAAGCACTTTGATCTTTTCTTTCTTTCATTTTTACTACATTCCCAAAAGCTTTCCAGCTTGGGGGGGGGGAGCGTAGAGGTGGCTGCGAGCCTGGACCCAGTAGTTTCACACAGAAATAGAACAAGAAAAGGGAAGAATCATCTCAGTCTCGACATGTTCACTTTGCAAATTATTCACCTACCTACTAAAATCGTCACGAAAAAGGAAAATCAATGTCATTTTTTTCTTCTCATTCTTCCCTAACCTTATATTTGTCACAGGGCTGTAGAGCTATGAGTAAATAGAGTAGTACATAATAATTATCATTGTTCTCAATGGGTTTTTTTCACTTTCAATACATTTTTATGATTATACTTTTTTGATGTTTAGCCCATTTTTTGGCTGTTTGGAGTCAAAATCAGAAATGGAATATAAATTTGACTAATTGAACAACCCTTACAATTCATTATATTTTCTCAGCGTTGCCCATTCCTTTCCTACAGCCGCTATCTGAAACATTCCTTTTCAAATCTCCTTGACCCTGATTTGACTGTTTTTTTTCTCTTCTAATTAAAATCTTCAGGCCATCTTTCTTTTCTCCTCCCTCTCTCTCTCTCCTTGTTTGGCCTTCATCAGTCTGGCATGAAGAGGGGGGGGAGGTGGGGAAACACAGCCACATCACTCTCTGATTGGCTGAAAGAGACACACACCCTCCACCCAGGCTCATTGCCCTGCCTTGGATGTTGCAAACTGGCAATGAAAATCTGAAATAAGATCCACTGAAGAATATTGCTTTTATACTGATTTAATTATTTTGATCATCATGTGAGACTAAAACCCTCTCACGGTGATCACACAAGTCTTTTTTATTTATTTTTTTTAATAAGATCTTGTCATTTAAAGCTGAACATGTCATCATGCTGTCAACAGCGATCCAAGATGGATCCAGTGTTCCTCACTTGCTCCTCTCCTGGTTCTCTAGTTTCGTCCAAATAGGTGGATGTTTGTTCTTCCTTCTATTACTGCCTCCAGCTGATTTTTCTCCTTTTTGAGCCGTCTATAATTTGGCTCATGTCGAATTTCAGTCAAGATTTAGATGCAATTTTGCGCATGAACCTCCCCCACTCCCTTTGTGCTGCCTTTCTGCAGACAAGGGGGTTTTACTCTCTCTCTGATCAATTAGCACACCGGATTGCCATTAAAATAATAATAATAATAAAACAAAAAAAACGCTCTAAAATCTTTCAGTGGCTCATCATCACAGATTTCCGTTCCCATCAGGATATTGAATTCCTGGCTTATCACATATTCCCACTCTTCTTTCTGGATATCTGTATTCATCCAGACTGCAGCTTCAAAGAAAATACCTGTCAGAAAGGTAACACAGCTTATAAGTGTGTAACCTACAGAATACAAAGACCAGGTCGAAAGCACTTAGTGCGGAACCATCTTTCAACACTATGAGTTTATTATTAATATTTTAAGTTTAATAGTAGATTAAGGGCAATAGAAAATACAAATAGATAGAGTTTGGTTCTAAGACTTCAATTGGTGTAATTTGAATTGGTGAAGATCAGG